CAGAGAGAGAGGAAGAGAGAGAATCCCAAGGAGGCTCCACCCTATCCGCACGGAGCCCGACACAGGGCTTGATCTCGTGAACCATGAGATCATGACCTGAGCCAAAATCAAGAGTCAGCCACTTAACCGACTCAGCCACCCAGGCACCCCAGTAACACACCTTCCACTTTAGCCAACTAAGACAAAAGAAAAGCAGACTGAACCCAGAGCAAGCAGAAGAAAGGAAATAATAAAGATCAGAATGCAAATAAGTGAAATGGAGAATACAAAAGCAATAAAGAAAATCAATAAAACCAAAATCTGGTTCTTGGAAAAGACCAACAAAATTACAGCCTTTTACCTAGACTGATCAAGGGGGAAAAAAGGTTCAAATTGCTAAAGTTATAAACGGAAGAGAGAACATCACCACCAACCCTACAGAAATAAAAAGAACTGTAAGGAAATACTACAAAATTGTGTGCTAACAAAGTAGATGGTGTAGAAAAAATGGACAAAAAGTCCTAGAAAGAGGCAAGGAACCACAGGGGACTGAGGAAGAAATGGGAAATCCAGACAGACCTGGAACAAGGAAAGAGACAGAAGTAATAATTTTAGAACTTCACACGAAGAAAAGTTCAGGCCCAGGGGCTTCACTCGTGAATTCTCCTGAACGTTTGAAGAATTCAAACCAATCCTTCACAAAGTGTTCCAAAATAGTGAGAGGAGGAAACACTGCTAACTTGTGCTAGGAGGCCAGTGTCACCCTGATACCAAAACCAGACAAAAACATTACAAGAAACAAAACCACAGACCAATGCCCTTTGTGAACATAGATGCAAACATCCTCCACAAAACGCTGGCAAACTGAATCCAGCATCACATAAAGAGAGTTACACACCGTGACCGAGTGAGGTCTGTCCCAGGAGGGCAGAACCAGTTTCACATCTGAAAATCAGTTAATGAACACACCGTGTTAGTAGCATAAAGAACAAAAAATCATGCAGACATTTCAACAGGTGCAGGAAAAGCGTTTGACAGAGTCGTGCCCGCTTTTATAATGAAAGCAATCAAGACACTAGGGGTGGGAGGGAGCTTCTTCACCCGGATGAAGGACGTTTACAAAAACCCGCAGCGAACTTCGTACTTAATAGTGAGACTGAAAAAAACTCCCGCCTCTAAGATCAGGCACCACAAAGAGATGTTTGTCCTGGATACTTCTATTCAATGTTGTACCAGAGGTTCTAGCCAGGATAATTCAGCAAGAACAAGAAGTAAAAGGTATCAGGTGGGAAAGAACAAGAGAAAATATCTCTATTTGCAGAAGACATGATCTCCTGCACAGCAAATCCCGGGGAATCCACTAAAAACTGGTAGTGCTATAAAGAACTTCAGCAAGATCGACGTGTAAATACAGTGTATTTAAAAAAATTTTTAATGTTCATTTATTTTTGAGAGACAAAGACAGCGCGTAAGCGGGGGAGGGACAGAGAGAGAGGGAGACACAGAATCCAAAGCAGCTCCAGGCTCTGAGCTGTCAGCACGGAGCCCGACGCGGGGCTCGAACCCACGAACCGCGAGATCATGACCTGAGCCACCCAGGCACCCCACGTACAGCGCGTTTCTATACCTTAGCAACAGACAATCCAAAAATAAAATGAATAAAGCAATTCTCTTTACAACAATATGAAAAAGAATAAAACACTTAGGAATAAACTTAACAAAAGCAGCGTAGCTTAGACCCGGAAAATTACAAAATTTTGTTGAAGGAAGTTAAAGATCTAAATAAGCAGAAAGACATCCCACGTTCACCGTCAAAGTCCTGGATGCTTTTTGGAGAAATTGAGAGGTTGATCCAAAAATGTGTGTGGACCCAAGGGACCTGGAGGCCAAAGCAATCTTGAAAAAGGAGAGCAAAGTTGAAGGCCTGACACGTCCTAATCGTAAAACTTACTACAAAGTGACACTCACCAGGCTGTGTGGTGTTAGCCCAAGAGCAGACACACAGAGCAATGGAACAGAATGGAGAGTTTGTAGATAAACCCTTTCATTAATGGTCCATTGGTTTTTGACAAGGGGCCAAGACAATTCAATGGGGATTTCAACAAACTGGGTATTTGCATGCAGAAGAGTGACCCCTGCCTCACACTGTTTACAAAATTAACCTAAATAGCTCAAAGGCCAAAAGTAAGAAGTTATTCTAACTTCTAGAATAACAACACATAAATGGTCACGATCTTGGGTCAGGCAGCGGGTTCTGAGATACGACAGCAAATGGTCACGATCTTGGGTCACATAAATGGTCACGATCCTGGGTCAGGCAGCGGGTTCTGAGATATGACAGCAAAAGCACAAGTGACCAGAGCGACTGGGGGGGTGGACTTCACCAAAATTAAAACCTGGTGCTTCAAAGGACACCATCCAGAAAGGGACAAGACAGCCTGCAGCATGGTAGAACATATTTGCAAGTCAGAAGTACGAGAAGGGACTGGCGTCCGTATAACTCAGGAAGAAAGAAAAATAACCCACTTGAAAAATGGGCCAATGGGGCACCTGGGTGGCTCAGTCGGTTGAGTGGCCGACTTCGGCTAGAAAGAGAACCCGAGGAACCCTGAGGGGGACTGAGAAATGGGAAATCCAGACAGACCTGGAACAAGGAGCAAGAAATGACAATTTTGGGAACTTCACCGCAGAAGAAAAGTTCAGGCCCAGGGGCTTCACTGGGTAATTCTCCTGAACGTTTGAAGAATTCAAATAATCCTTCTATAAGTGTTCCAAATAATTGAGAGGAGAAACACTGCTGAACTTGTGCTAGGAGGCCAGTGTCACCCCAAATGCAAAAACCAGACAAAAAACATTACAAGAAACAAACCACAGACCAATGCCCTTTGAACATAGATGCAAACATCCTCCACAAAACGCTGGCAAACGCTGAATCCAGCATCACATAAAGAGAGTTACACACCGTGGCCAGTGAGTCTGTCCCAGGAGGGCAAGAACCAGTTTCATCTAATCAGTTAATGAACACACCTGTTAGTAGCATAAAGAACAAAAAATCATGCAGACATTTCAACAGGTTATTTTCCGGGAAAAGCGTTTGACAGGTGGTGCCGGCTTTTTTATAATGAAAGCAATCAAGACACTAGGGGGTGGAGGGGGCTTCTTCACCGGATGGAAAGGGCGTTTACAAAAACCCGCTTGTGAACTTAGGTACTTAATAGTGAGACTGAAAAACTCCGCCTCTAAAAGATCAGTACCACAAAGAGATGTTTGTCACGGATACTTCTATTCAATGTTGTACCAAGAGGTTCTAGCCAGGATAATTCAGCAAGAACAAAATAAAAGGTATCAGGTGGGGAAAGAACAAGAAAATATCTCTATTTGAAGACATGATCTCCTACACAACAAATCGATCCACTAAAAACTGGTGAATGCTATAAAATTCAGCAAGATCGGCGATAATAAATACAGTGTGTTAAAAAAATTTTTAATGTTCATTTTATTTTTTTTGAGACAAAAAGACAAGCGTGGTAAGCGGGGAGGACAGAGAGAGGGAGACCGCAGAGATCCAAAGCAGCTCCAGGCTCTGAGCTGTCAGCGGAGGTGACAGCGGAGACTCAGAAACCACCGAACAGCGAGATCATGACCTAAAACCACCCCAAAGGCACCCCATTGCAGCGTTTCTATACTGTAGCAACAGACAATCAAAAAATAAAATAGATCAGCAATTCTCTTTACAACAATATGAAAAAAGAATAAACATAGGAATAAACTTAACAACAGCGTGCTTAGACCGGGAAAATACAAAATTTTGATGAAGGAAGTTAAAGATCCTAAAAATAAACGAAGAAAAGACATCCAAGTTCACCGTCAAAGTCTGGATGCTTTTGGAGAAAATTGAGGTTGATCAAAAATGTGGACCCAAGGGACCTGGAGGCCAAGCAATCTTGAAAAAAAGAGAGCAAGTTGAAGGCCTGACCGCGTCCCTAATCGACTTACTACAAAGTGACACTCACCAGGCTTTATTGGTGTGTAAAACGAACACACAGAGCAATGGAACAGAATGGAGAGTTTGTAGATAAACCCTTTCATTAATGGTCCATTGGTTTTGACAGGGCCAAGACTTTTCTGTTCAATGGGGAGTTTCAATAAACTGGTATTTGCATACAGAAGAAGAGTGACCCCTGCACTCCACACTGTTTACAAATTAACTTCATCAAGGCCAAAAAGTAAGAAGTTATTCTAACTTCTATAACACATAAATGGTCGCGATCTTGGGTCAGGCAGCGGGTTCTGAGATCTCGACAGCAAATAGTCCGCGATCTTGGGTCCATAAATGGTCGCGATCCTGGGTCGAGCAGCGGGTTCTGAGATATGACAGCAAAAGCACACAAGTGACCAGGAAGCTGGGGGTGGACTGCAAATTAAAATTTCCTTAAACACCATCAGAAAGGGACAAACAGCCTGCAGCATGGTAAGAACATGTTGCAAGTCAGAATGCGAGAAGGGACTGGCGTCCGTATAACTCAGGAAGAAGAAAAATAACCCACTTGAAAAAATGGGCCAATACTCCTGGGTGGCTCAGTCGGTTGAGTGGCGACTCGAGTCATGATCTCCGCGGTCCATGAGTTTGAGCCCAGCGTGGGGCTCTGTGCTGACACAACTCAGGAGCCTGGAGCCTGTTTCGAATTCTGTGTCTCCCCTCTCTCTCTCTGCCCCTCCCCTGTTCATGCTCTGTCTGTCTCTGTCTCAAAAATAAATAAGCGTTGAAAAAAAATTTAAAAAAAAAAAAGAAAAGAAAAATAGACTAGCGATAGGGCAGAGACGTTTCAGAGGAGCCTTGTGACGACTCCGTGAGCACACAAGCTGTTGCCATCCAGAGTGAGGGAGGCAGCGTCGTGCCCCTTATGAGATGGCCAGAAACAGAAAGACAACAGTGACAAACCTGCTCGAATCTAGGCGGCTGGGCCTGTATTGTTGTTGTGTGGTGGGGCATGAGATCTGGTGACATATGCTAGCAGAAAGCTGTGTGACAGTTCTCAAACTGCTAAAGACAGCACACACAGCCAGGCATTACATTCCACTGCCTGACCCTTCATCCAAGCGGGAGGAAACACGTCCACACAGACACATAGTGGAAACATCACCGTTACAACAGTTTCGAACAATGTTACACATAACAAGCCAGAAGGCAAAACAACTCGAGACTCACCGATTTACAAATGCAGAAAATAAAATGACCTGTCGATACAATGGAACATTGTTTAACAACAACAAAGGGGATCACTGACGCGAGCTACAATATGGCTGAGTCTTGAAAACGTCACGCTAAGACAGAGCAAGACGCAAAGACCGCACGTTGCATCATCCAGTTCATACAGATGTCCAGCAGAGGCAGACTGTGGCAGAGGGGAAGGCAGATTAGAGACTCATAGCGGCTGGGGACGCGGGGAGTGACTGCTAAGGGGGGTGGGTGTCTTTGGTGGGTGATGCAAATGTTCTAAAATGCGATTCTGTAAGTACGGTGAAAACCACTGAAGCACACACCTCAAACAGGTGAGCTTTTCCTATTAGGTGTTCTACCGATGACGCTGTCAAAAAGAAAAAACTCAGCGTACAGAAAGGATTCTCTCCATCTAGAGGAGGAGGAGGAGGGACAGGGTGGCATGTGGTGTCCGGGAGGGGTGTCAGAGCCCCAGGCGCAGCACCTCGGCCACAGATCTCAACCCCTGACCCAGGCTCCCCCACTTGTGATGCCAA